AGTTTTTGTTAAAGTATTTTTAAATGTTGTTGATTTTTTGGTAATAGTTCTAATAAAAATTTAGATTTTTTTAAATACTTCTGCAAAAAAAATCAATAAATAGAAAAAGAAAAAAATATAACAACCAAGTTCTATAATACAACCCAGTGCCACATTATTTTTGTTTTGTTTGGTCGCTGACTACCAAATTTTTCTTGTGGCTTTAAACGACTTTTGAAAAAAGTAATCAAGGCAACTTCCTCACAAAGGTTTGTGCTCTCAAAGTGAATTATATATGGTGGTGATTTATAAATCGAAACAAATCTAAGGCTGTAACAGTGTCACAATCTACACGCACAAAAATACTCAAAAATTGGAGTTGTTCTTAAAATCAAAATGTTATTCTAGAATATATTTAAAAAATCTATTTCCATCAAAAAAACTCAAAAAGGTAACTGGAACAATTTCAATTAAAGTTCCTGATTCACTCATAATGTTTCCTCTCATGACGTCATCATTAAAAATCACTCAAAAAAGTTACTCACAAAAGAAATATTCAAAAAGAAATTAAGTACTTAAAACTGTTTATTTTCCGCAATATTGTCCCGATGAACAACTGCGTTGTTATTGTAGCTAAAAAGTCATTATTGAAAAATATCTCAAAAAATACTAAAAAAATATTCAAAAAAATTACTAACAAATAGCACAGCTTAAGCGTTTCCATTCGAACGGTTGGCAGAAAGGGGGGCGGTTATACCATCATGATGGAGCTTTACTAATTTTTATAATATTAATTTAACAAAACTTTATTAAAACTGCTACCGATTATTGAATAAAATTGAATATTTCTGTGAAAATGAGCACAACATTGAGAACATAAAAGTAATTTATTTTTCTTGATTTTTTGACGATTTTTCGATATGGATTATATGGAATAGAAATTTTCTTTTGAATACTAGTGGTGTATAAATTAATCCTTGTTATTTTGAATTTGATCAAGTCAAGATCATTTTCACTACAATATTTCAATGAAGTAGTTAGTAAACTGTCGTTTTGTTTGGCATTATGTTGGTGTCGTACAACGCAAAATGACATAGAACTTGCGTTATTCTGTTGTATAAGCGAAATTTGTGGAGGTATAACAAAAATTTCATATGAAAATAACGTTTTAAATTTAAACAATTATTTTCAATTTAAATTTTAACGTTTTAAATTTAAACAATCAATGAAGAAATTTTTGATGAAGAAAGACCTAACAGTTAGTGTTATTGAATAAATAAGAATATGTTAAGTTCTCTGACATATTTTTTTAAATAAAAAAACATTTTTGAAAGATGAGTTTGATTTGGACGATATACACCCAGATTTCAGCGTCGATGAAGAGCTCAGAAATTGTAAAAAATTTTACGAAAGTTTGTTAGTTACAGCTAAATATATTACTTTTTTCCTTTGAAAAGTGTTTAATTATTTTTTTTGTGACTCAGATAACATCTCCAATAATAGTAATTCCTCACCATGCGATTAACGAAGTTAAAAAGTCAATGCTGTTACGAAATAAGAAAAATTACTAACTGGTGGAAACAATACTTGTGGCGAAATTCACTACATCGCATGATGAGTAATTACTGTTGTGGGAGATGTTACCTGAAAAACAATAAAAATTTAAATCTTTTCAAATGGAAAAATAATATATTTAAATTAACCAGTTTTAAAATTACTTGTATTTAAAAACAAGCAAGGTATTATTGAAATACCAAAATTAGTTGCTACATCCAGTTAAAGAAAAAAGATAAATAATTAGTATATTATGTCCTACCATGGGCAGATGTACGGTATATTTTAAATCATTTTTAAGGTGGCTTCTTCTGATAGGTCTTCAAATTTGAAATAAATATTATAGTGCAAACCTTTTGAACCCTTTTTTATGCCCTGCATCTTCGTGAACGGTATATTAACTTTGGTATGAAGTTTGTAACCACTTGAATGAGTCGTCTTCGGTATGGGCACGTGTATATATTCTCATTCAGCGTAAAATTTTGCGTTGATTTAGCCATGTCTGTCTGTCCGATCGCATACGATAACTCAAAAACGAATAATGCAATCGACACAAAACTTTCACAAGTTCTTTCTTTTCTGTCATTGGACCAATTCGGACAATGGGTTCGGCTACCTACCATACAACTCCAAAATCTTATTTTACGAGTATATATTTAAAAAAAGTCAGATTCATGAAACTTGGCAGTCGTGTGTCCAATTTAGGTCACATATATCTTTGAATCTTTGGTGGAATGACTTGACAGATATTTCAAAAACAAATTTTTAAACTCAGATTATAGGTTTATACCGACTTGTTTAAATTTAAAAATGGTTCACAATTTATGTTTGAAAAAATTAATTAGCTTTTTAATAATATTTTTTTGATAAGATATCTAATTTTATCAAATATAAATATTTTTGAAAAAACTTTTTCTTTTACAATTTTTGGCAAACTTTGTTGAAAAATTTTTATAATTTCAAACAATATTTGGTATCAAAATAATAAAATAATTTTAACTATTTGTTTAACAATAATTTTTATTAAAATCTATTACTTCTTACCTTCTTGAGTTTGATTAAACAAAAGTATTTTCTCTGAAGATGAAGCAATAATTGAAACATTAGTATGTATAAGAAATAATGGATTTTAATAAAAACGAGAAAAAAAATAGAGTTGACCTTGTCAACTCTGTGATACCCGTACGAATTTGTTATACTATGTGCGAATAACTAATGTGCCATAACTAACTATGGGGCCGACTATGACTTTAAGTTGCCGTATTACCATATTAATTTATACAAAATTTCAATACTATGTGTTTTTCAAAATACAGGTTGTGCCAAACTACTATTGAAGTTTTATGGCAGCTACCAGAAAGAGCCAAGAAATTTTAGCGAATTTTATCAAGCAGATTGGCCCTACTAATATATTCACTTGTGTGAAATTTCAATATCACAGCTTTTATAGTTTCTGAGATACAGCCAAATAACTTTTGAAGTTGTATGGCAGGTACCAGAAGCAGCCAAGTAATTTCAACGACTTTTATGAGACACATTGGCCCTACTAATATATTCGTTTGTGTGAAACTTCAATACCATAGCTTTAATATTTTCTGAAATATAGTCAAATAACTTTTGAAGTTGTATGGCAGGTACCAGAAGGAGCCAAGTAATTTCAACGATTTTTATCAGACACATTGGCCCTACTAATATATTCGTTTGTGTAAAATTTCAATACACAACTTTTATAGTTTCTGAGATATAGCCAAATAAATTTTGAAGTTGTATGGCAGCTACCCGAACCGGTACCCCGATCATGTCCAATTTAAATAGGGTTCTGGCACTTACAACAATAAATCATTTGTGAAAATTTGGTAAACTTAGCTCAATTAGTTTTTGAGTTGTCGTTAGGACGGACGGACGGACGGACGGACCGACAGACAAAGCTAAATCAACTCAGAATTTGACGCTGATCAAAAACATACACTTGAGTCTATATCTAACACCGTTATTTCTTAGCGTTACAAACGGTAAGGCAAATTTAGTATACCCTTCGAACATACGTTCGTACGGGTATAATTATTATTGCGGAACAAAGTGCTAGCGTTTTTTTATACTTTTGATAATGAAGTTTGTTTAAAATATTTAAGAAAATTCATTACCAAAGTAAATAATTAATTCATTTTTAAAATCTAATTTGTAAGAACGTTGTAACCTTTTGAAGGAACTGTTTTGTTTTAAATAATTCTATCATTTTGAATACCTTACACATCATTTTTCGTAAATTAATTGAAACTTATTCGTATTCTGATACAATAGTTTACACAAAATGAAAAGTGATATAATTAGGTATTCAAGAAGAATTGTGATACGATGTAAAACCATTTTGTTTAATAAAGCAAAAAGAAAAGTTTAACTATTTTATGAAGCACAAATTTTTATTTTATTTGTTGAAATATTAAAATTCTCATTTTGTAATTCTCTGTCTCGGAGAATATTTGAAATAGATTAAGCTATTTTTAAAAATCATTATTAAATAGGAATCATAAATCCAAAAACTTATTATTCACTAAAACGACTTTGTATTTACATTATATATGTATGTTTCGACATTCAGCATTTCTAATTATTTTGTGGTATATCTACATTTCTTTGTCGTAAGTGCAAGAATGAAAAAAAAACGTAAACCGAGTCCCATACCACAAGATGGTTTCGACAAAACGTCCAAAATCTCGAAATTTTTGTTCGGGCTAGCTATATTTTACAATACCACTTTAAAGCTAATTGATTATACTACAAGATCTTTATTGAAAATTAGGCACTTTTACGGCTCAATTTTTTTGCTTTAGTAGTTCAAACTTCAAGCTCAATTTTCCAAAATTCGATTTTCGGGATATACGACGAAATAATTTCGGGATGACGATATATAAGCAAAATTTATACGTATAAATTTATATAATATGTTTTATCTACGAGTATTGCATATGTATATCGAATTTGTTTAATATGCTGCGAACAAGTACTAACAAAAGGTGGAAAATTTTATTTTATTGAACAAGTGAATAGATTAGATTTAAGTAAGTTTAGTGAGTAGATTGTCTACTGTTATTATTTTTCCTCACCTTTTTGCTACCTAAGTTAATAAATTTAAAGAATTCTCAATAAAGCAACGTTGTATTCAATTCAATTTAACTAATATTATTTTTTATTTTAAACGAATTTAAAAGTTTTCAAACCTTAGCAGCAGCAGCAGTCTTAAATGAATAATAACTGGTTTTGTTAGTTATTTTTTTTTGTAAGAAAAGCCAAAGTTGTGCAATGTTTGTTTTTATTTTCAATAGTATAGCTTTGAATACACATATTTGCTATATTATTTTGTTCTTGTAGTTTGAAGTGCTGATAAATTCAACTTTAGCTGGATAAGTTTGTGTTTTTATTTATTTTTACATATTTCTTCAAACACTTCAGTTTTAAGACAACTTTCATGCAAAACGGATATAATTGCGGATAAAACAAGTTTGAAAAGATTTGAAAGTTACATTTTTATATATGGAGTAGTAACGTGAAAATCATGAAAATAACCATTTAGATTTTTAATTTTATTTTATTTTTTAAACAAAGAGCAATAAACCTTTTACTTTATTTTATTAAAGTAAAAAGTTGTAGGAAACTTTTATGAAAAAAAGTAAGAAAGTTAAAAAAGGGAATTACTAATCAACAAGTTTATTATTACAAAAAATAACGAATTCACATATGAATTTTTTTTTCAATTTTAATTTGGAAATTTTTAAGATTGTAGTTAAGTAAAAAAAAACATTTTACGGGGTAAATGTATTTGTATTTAATCTTATAGCTAAAACTACTGTTTTCGAAAAAAAAAAATGAATTGTTATTAGTTTATATTATATAACGTGAAATTGTTAATATTTGTGTAAAATATTAGAAAACTTACTTCATAAAAATCTTGCAATTTACATTCCTAATTTACTTCTTTGTAATATTTTCTAAAAGTATAAATTTAAGAAAATAGCTGCAAAAGAAAAAAATAATCTTATACGTATACAAATGTAACTTGATTGTGTGCGATTTTAACAAAAAAGAAAAAAGGTTAGTATCGAAAGAATATTAAATACAAATCACGGGCGAGAAAACAAAGTTAGTTTCTGTAACATTAACTTTAGGAAAATATTTGTTGCGCTTATTGTAAACTTAAGATAATTTTTATGCCTTTGTATTATTTTAATATTTTTTGATAATTTTTCCAATAAAATTTTAGTATTTCTTCTAGTTGAGTTAAATTTTATATAGATCATCACTTTTTTTATATATTAATGATTAAATAACATTTAATTGAATTTTATCTAACATAAAAATGTTTAACTCGTAAAAATCTAACTTATATTGTAGAGGTAAGAAAATTAAAATATGTAATGCAATTCACATTTTCCTACCTTATATTAAGGTAGGAAAATTTGCATTGTTTTACATAGAGAAAAATTTTTCAATTAAATGATGGAGAAATTTTTTCAATTGCTTTTGCTTAAAATTTAAAAGAGAAATAGAGGAGGTGAATGTATGGAAAGTGAAAAAATTACTTTCATGTATTTTTATATAAAATTTATTTCTTGGTTAAATATTTGAGTTGAAACTTGTTTGGTTTTTGGAAAGGTATGAAGAGTACATCTTCGTCGCGCGTATGGACATGTATATATATTGTTGCTCAGCATTGTAATGTGAATTCTGCATTGATTTCAACTTGACCATCCGTCCGTCCGATCGAACGACAACTCAAAAACAAACGCCAAATTTTCTTAAGTTTTTTCTTTTGTGCCAATGATGTCTGCTATTGTAAATTGTAATTGGACCAATTCGGACAACGGGTTCGGGTAGCTGCCATACAACTCTAAAAGCTAATTTTAAATATTTGAAAAAAAAACTAAAGCTAGATTAATAAAACTTGGTAATCGTGTGTCCAATTTCAGGTCATATATATCCCTGAAGCTTTGGTGGATTGGCTTGACAGGTTCGGATAGCTGCCATACAACTCCGGGAGTTAATTTTAAATATTTGAAAAAAAAAATCAAGTCAGATTCATGAAATTTGGTAGTCGTGTGTCCAATTATATGTCATACATATCCCTGAAATTTTGGTGATATGACTTGACAGCTTCGGAGTCATGTGTCCAATTGTTGGTCACGTATATTCCTGAAGTTTTGATGGAATGGCCTGACAGGTTTGAATAGCTGCCATGGAACTCCAAAAGCTAATTTTAAATATTCAAATAATACAGTTAGATTCATGAAACTTGTCAGTTGTGTGTCCAATTATAGTTCAGACATATCCATGCAGCTTCTATGGAGTATTTTGTCAGGTTCGAATACTTGGTATATAACAATGAGAGCTAATTCTAGATACTCCAAAAACAAATTTTAAACTCAGATTGCTAATGTGCAGGGTATAATTCGGTCGGTTTATACCGACTGAAACGTTTTTACTTGTTTCTTTTTAAAATACTTAACCATTTTTTTACCATTTTTTTTTTATTTTTAATTGAAGTAAAGCGGAAGTGAAGATTTATTAAGAAAAACTGACAACATTAAATTTCGCATGAGCAATAAGATATAATTAATTAAAAGCTGATATATTTATCGTTTGAATACAAGTTTCGCAAATTCTTACCATTTATTATGTTTGCATGAATCATATTTTATTTCCCGCATTGTGTATACTAAAAGGTTAGTGATGGCAAACCTTTCACATATCGAGTTTTCGGTGGGAACGCACTTCTCCATAGTATGGAATTGTAAATAAACTATTTTAAGTAACCTGTCGGTCAGTCGGTCTGCGTGTACTCCCGTGTATCTCAAGTTTGGCTGAAACGATTTTGATGAAACTTTATATGTAAGTTTATTTGACAGGCTTCGGGAACTTGACTTTTTAGGGGGCCTGCTTTACATTTTTGATCATTTTGAAGAAAATATTCAACTTTAAATCTCATATATGAGCTTCATTCGTCCGTATTTAGAACGTCATAACTTTTGAAACAAATCAGGTGTTAGCAACTGGACGTTTACTACTGGTTAAATATATGTACATTTTAGCGTATATATCGAAAAATAGTATTTAGCGTATAATATTTGAGCTCTGGTTGTTACCAGCAGTTACTGACGAACTTTTCGTATAATTCGGAGAGCGCAAAATAAAACTCTACTAAGAGCCAAATTCACATTTTTCTAGTTATGTAAACTAAAAACTTAGTGCCCTTAAAATTGTAAAGAAGTTTTTAAAGCGCATTCTCATAATCTTCTAGAATACTTTTGCTAATCTAGACAATATATATTGCGTTCGGTATGTGCTGATCATATCAGATTCATAAAGGCTACAATTTATTCCCCGTACTTCTTTTGTAATAGTAAAAAATTAAAGTGAAGAAGAGATAAGTATAATTGCGTTCAAGTTAAAAATGTTCAGAATAAATTACAATTTTAAAAATGCTTATAATCAAATGAACATAAATCTATACAATGTAAAGCTGGAAAGTAGCTCTTTATTTAAAAAAACAATGTGTAATTATTTTAGTTATTAAGAAAAGTCAAAAAAAAAATTCTGAATTTTTCACAAAGTGACGAACTACCAAAAAATTTACCTATTCAATTTTTTTCATAAATTGAAAAATTTTGAGTTGGTTCTCAAAAAAACTGTTAATATTTTTTCTTGTGGGAAGCCTCATTTTCGACATAATTTGTTTGTAAACTGTACGGTTTCCAGAAAAAATCGTTATTTGACTCTATGTAAAATTACATAAGCTTAATGAACTAAATCAAAGATAAAGTGTAGAAATACAATCAGGTAGCTTATACAAAAGGTCTTATTTTTTTTTTATTTACAGTTTTTACCGACCGCATTGAATGGAGGTTATGTAAAGGCACTGACTTTTTGATGCGAGTTTCCGATGGGAACGTATCAAAAAGTTAGTAGCAGAATTTTTAACACTACAAGTGCTAAGTTTTATTATAAGAACCTTACGAGAGTTGCATAAAAACAAAAAAGAAAAAAAATTATGAGAGTATTGGAGTGTGGTATGAGAGTTTTATAAGAGTTTTGGTAAATTTTTTAGGGTATTACTTTTGGAAATTGTTACTTGGGATATATCTCTAAATATGCGCAAATATGTAAAATTGACCCGTAAAAAAGTTCCGTTCCCGAGGTCTGATATACGTTATCCCAAAAGTTGATCAATCTGTGTCGTAGCCAAAATAAATTTTTATATAAAATTTCCTCAAGATCGGTTCAGCCGAACTTCAGATACACGATTGCACAAACAGACGAAGAAACCGACAGACCGACATCTCTCTAAAAGTAATTTATTTACGCTTCCCTACTATGGAGAAGTGCATTCCCACCGAAAACTCGATATGCAAAATTTGTTGCCATCACATAACCTACCTATTGTATACACAATACGGTCGGTAATAACCTTTAGCAATAAGCACTTTAAGCAACTAATTACCGCATACACATAAAATAATTCGATACTAAAATCCATGTGCGTATGTATTTGGGTTTTATAATACATGCGAATAAAACACGTGAATGTATAATTTGTTAATACTAATACTGTATAGGGTAATGCGTATAGCATACGATTTCTATGCCAAAAGTACCAAGTTCGAATCCTAAAAAGGCGATTTGAGGAAATTTAATATTCACTGATGTTTTACTTAGTAATACATTTTGTTAGCATACATACTTATTATAAAACACTGTAGATTTTATGAACTCTTACAATTTGCTTAAGAGAGTGCTCAATTTTTGTTATAATTCACACTTCCAAAAATTAATTTGTATACAATATTTACCCCACCAAAAGTAATAAAAATAAAAATTACCCCTACAGGAGGTAGTACCATTTTATAAGAAGCGTCTTGGGAGAAGGTAAAAGGCGAGGTTAGGAGAAGTTAATGCGCTTTCTGGGACCCTAGAGACAAAACCATATCTAATGTCCCATGTCTCTAGCCCTTCTAGAAGTATCCTTACTTTTTGATAACTGAGAATTAGCTATATATGTATATATAATGTAAAATAGGATGGTTTTTGAAGAGTTATACGAAATATGAATAAAATAAAGAATTATAGAAGCAAATTCAAGGTACTGCGTAGCCTGGTGGGTAGCGTGGTTGTTCTGATAACCAGAAAGTTATTAAATCGATGCTTGCCTGGATATTGTCGCATTTTTCTTTTTCGGGATTATTTTAAAATTCTTTTCTTTTCTATTTTGTTTAAATTTTTTGTTTTATTTTTGTAATATACAACAGATGAATATTATTATAAGAGTTTAAGAAAAATTTCCAAAAAAATATTGTTTTAACAGTTTGGAAAAATTAGTAAAAATTTTAAATACATAAGCATGTACATATGTATGTATGCTTTTTCTAAAGCTTCTTAACTAATTTTTTTAAAAACTGTGGTTTGACATATAGAAATAATTTTTATACCCGTACGAACGTATGTTCGAAGGGTATACTAAATTTGCCTTACCGTTTGTAACGCTAAGAAATAACGGTGTTAGCTATAGACTCAAGTGTATGTTTTTGATCAGCGTCAAATTCTGAGTTGATTTAGCTTTGTCTGTCCGTCCGTCCGTCCGTCCGTCCGTCCGTTCGTCCGTCCGTCCGTCCGTCCGTCCGTCCCAACGATAACTCAAAAACTAGTTGAGCTAAGTTCACCAAATTTTCACAAATGATTTATTGTAGTAAGTGCCAGAACCCTATTTAAATTGGACATGATCGGGGTACCGGTTCGGGTAGCTGCCATACAACTTCAAAATTTATTTGGCTATATCTCAGAAACTATAAAAGTTATAGTATTGAAATTTCACACAAACGAATATATTAGTAGGGCCAATATGCCCCATAAAAGTCGTTGAAATTACTTGGCTCCTTCTGGTACCTGCCATACAACTTCAAAAGCTATTTGGCTATATCTCAGAAACTATAAAAGCTGTGATATTGAGATTTCACACAAGTGAATATATTAGTAGGGCCGATGTGTCTGGTAAAAGTCGTTGAAATTACTTGGCTCCTTCTGGTACCTGCCATACAACTTCA